TCATTCGGTTCTGTTCTGTTCTTCTGGGCATCCTTCTTAACTATGTATAGCTACATATCGCGGGCTAACCTACGGCGCATTTGAGAAATCTCACGTTGTAATCTTTCACATAGTCGATCAACATTATCAGGATCTTCCTTTTAGACCTCAACAGAACGTGCTTTTGGCACCTTCAATCGATTTTCCCGACATAATCTTTCCATTTGCACTCGCTCTATAAATAGTGCGGGCCACTTCAGAAGTCTAGCGTTTGCTAAACCATATCCTGTTTGATTATCTGATGGTTCCTCCACCAAACCACATTGATTTCTAAACAGATTTCACAAATATAAACCCTAACCCTAATTTAAGATTTAAGATTTCACATTCAACAGGTTTCACAATTATAAACAGATTTAAGATAAATATAAACCATTCAACATTCACATTCAACTGATTTCTAAACAGATTTCACAAATATAAACCCTAACCCTAACCCTAATTTAAGATTTAAGATTTCACATTCAACAGATTTCTAAATAGATTTCACAAATATAAACCCTAACCCAAATTTATTATTTCTGATTTCACAACATTTTCACATTCATGAACCCTATTCTACCAACATTATATCCACATTCATGAACCCTAACCCTAATTTATTCACATTTTCACAAACACAAAAAATGCATTAAAGTAGATGACAGAAGCCATACCAACGAGAGAGAGGTACCGATAGTACTGAGAAGTAGAGGGAGCTCGAGCACAGAGACAGAGAGAGAGACAGCAGGGAGTGAGAGAGTGAAACTGTAACAAGCGTGAATGCAAAACACGGGGCTAGGGAGATTATATATAAGTTTTAAAAGCGTGGTTGTGAACCACGATTTCACTTAATGAAAAAAAATTTTGCCAAAAAACGTGGTTCAGAACAGCGATTTCAGAAGAAATTTTTTTTTGTAAAAGCATGGTTCAGAACAGCAATTTCAGAAGAAAAAAAAATTAATTAAAAGCGCCTTTTGTAACCGCGCTTTCTTAATCAAAAGCGCGTTTTGTAACCACGCTTTTAAGACTTCCCAATTTTCACGCGAGACAGGCGCATACACGTTGAAAGCGTGGTTGTGAACCACGTTTTAGCCTATTTTGAGAATTCTTTCAAAACTAGGCTTAGTTTGGGAATTGAATTAGTATTTTGGCTTATTTAGGGAAATGCCCCAGGATGGTGAGTCTGTGAGAAGAGGGACAACAAGTGACTGACGGCTTTTGTTTGGGTGTATGTAGACACTGATGTACAGAAATAAATAATAATAATAAAATAAAACATAACTAGTGAATTGGCCGGAAAATTTGAAATTCACCAAAAAATAACTTTGCTAACTAAATATTTTTAGTCACTGAAAATATATATTTATTGACTAATTTTTTTGTCGCCAAAGATTAAAAGTAATATTTATGTTAGTTTTTTGGTGACTAAAATTTCTTTAGTCGACAAAAATTAATAAACAACGACTAAAATGTTTTTTGGTCACTGAAGATCAATATTTGGCTACTAAATTAGGTAGTCACCAAAGATTAAAATAAAATTATGCTAGTTATTTGGCTACTAAATTTATTTTAGTCAGCAAAAATTAGTATACAACGATTAAATGTTTTTTGGTCACCGAAAATGCATATTTGCTGACCAAATTAGGTAGTCGCCAAAGATTTAAAGTAAAATTATGCTAGTTATTTGGCTACTAAATTTATTTTAGCCGGCAAAAATTAGTATACCACAACTAAAACAAACTTTAGTAGGCTAAAACCTTAACTAACACTGACCAATATATTTTTAGTCGCCTATTGTGGCACTTTTGGCGACTAAATTGTTGTTTAGTGGCCAATAATTAATATACAGCTACTAAAAAAAACACATAAAATTGCTTGCCAATGAGCAAAGGCTTGTCTAGAAACAATATTATTGACATCCTTTTCTAAAACCTCTTTGGCAGCTTTGCAATCGATATGTAATAAAAATTATTGATTTAATAAATCATATTCAAATTTTTTAAGGGATTTGTGGTGAAATCCCCTTTTTTGGGCCTTTTTTTAGGATAAATGTAATAACCCCGACCTCTGATTAATGTTAATCCATGATTAATTATGCCTAATTAGCAATTAAGGTGAAATTCTGAATTAAACTGCATGTGTGTGATGCATTGTTTGTGTCTATATCTATTAGGCGTAGAAAAATCTGTTCACGTTTTAGTTTCGGCTTGCGAATTGAAGGCCTTATCGGCATCCGATTTTGGGATTGATTTAATATGTGTTATGTGGAATTTATAGAATTTTATGGTAGGTTCGATTTAAAATTTGTTACGGAACGATTAAATAAGATTAATTTAATCCCACTTAATTACCTATGACTTTAACTAAATGGGCACCATTTCTTTATAAGTCCACTCATCTTCTTTCCTTGATTTCAAAGCACTTTGAGGCTATTCTGAGGGGAGAAACGTGAGAGAGGAAGAGTAGAGGGAGGTTGAGCTCAACTAAAGAATTGACTAGGAGATTGAAGACAATTTGAAGCTTTGGGTTAGGATGACTCTTGAAATCAACCTTAGGTAAGAACTATACTCTTAAACTTTGTATTTAAGACATTAAGTATTTGAATTCAAGGTGGTCAATTAAGCTAAGATTAGAGAATTGAAGCTCATTGCATACATGCATGTGTAATTCATGGCATTTGAGGTTGTTTTCCTAAAGAATTCTTGCATGCATGTCATAATCCTAGCTTTGTTTTAGAAATTCTTCATGTTCTATGTCATATTGTCATACTTGATCATGTTTTTGAGTTGAACATTGCATTTGGTCATGTTTTGGGAAACTTTGGTTCAAAGAATTGCATACAAGTCATTTACATAAATTATCCTTGAGTTTCACATTAAGTTTTGTTCAATTGGCATGCTTTTGGGCCATGATTTCTTGTTATGATGCTTTAAACATGTTGTTTTATGAGTCTCTACGTGTTTTCCAAAGTATAGGGCCCAGAAATTTGAGTTTGATGCATTTGAGGTTGATTTTGAGCTTGGCAATCAAATCTGGAAATTCCAAAAATTTGATTCATGCTTGAGCGAGGAACTTCAAGCTCGAGCGTGCACTCTGAGTACATGCACTTCCACTCGAGCGTCGATGGTCATATTCGAGCGTGAAATGCATATACCCAGAAGTTTATGTGTTTTGCAGTCCGTTCGAGTGAGGGAATCCGCGCTCGAGCGAGGGTCTGAGTCTCACGCTCGAGCGGGGGTCGAGCGTCCGTCGAGCGTGAAAAACATGCAACCAGTACTTTTTCAAAAGTTTGCAGTCCGCTCAAGCGGGGAAAGTCACGCTCGAGAGGAGCTTCATTGTCTGCATGTCCGCTAGAGCGAGGAAATCCACGCTCGAGCATAGACCTTATTTTCAGCAAGTTTTGAAAAATGTTTTCCAATACATTTTTGCATCCTCATTTCTATCCTAGGCATTCCTAGGCCATGATTAAGACTCCATAATGAGGATTAAAGACTAGAAACGCACTAAGAGCAACGAAGTTAGTTATGTACAATTCGAGCGTGTGTTTCAGGTGTGTTTCTGTTATGTGTCATGTAGGTCAGGTGCCGTATACTGTTTGACTAGTCTGCTCCGTCTGTCTGCCTCGAAGCCAACTGTGAGTAATAACTTAGTAAAGTTATGTTCAACTATATTTATTTTCTGTGTGATAAGGTAAGATCTGTTTTCTGAAGTGCTATATTTTGTACATTGAATGATTGTCTAATTTCTGATATGTATTCGTGGCATCCTTAGCATCATGTGATATGTGTTAGCTGTTACCCGGTATCGGAGGTTCCATCATGGAACTCAATATGTCTGCACTCCGTTACCTGTACCAGAGGCTCCATCATGGGGCTCAGCATGTTTATTCTCTATTACCCGAATCCGGAGGTTCCTTTATAGAACTAGCTATTTATAACCCCCACGTGTTCTGTATCTGCTTTATATCTGTTCTGTCAACACTAATGAATGTACCACGTATATTTAAGCAAGACTTATGACTTCTGTATATGATCTGGACAAGAATATGAATATGAATTTGTTATGAAAACAAATTATGTTTTCTGAATCTGTATGGACTCATTCATTAAAACCCTTTACCCCGTTATTATTCACTAGGCTTCCGCTCACTGTTTATATTATGTATGTAGGTGAGTTGGTACGTGATCAGGGCCAGAGTTGACGACCCACGTTTCTGTTTTGTCAGCCAACTCTTGTGCCTCCCGAAGAGGTTCCTGTTGAAGTTTGGTTCTGTGGCTGTTTTTGTAATCTGTATTAGACTATGTTGTTGCTAAGTTGTGGGCGAGATTTTTGTCCTGAACACCTAAGTGTGTTGTGTATATATAACATGTATGTTGACTTCGTCTGTATTTTATAAAAGTTTCAAGCTTTACTGTCTCATGTATGTTATCACAGCTCATTGGCCCTTGTCTATTTTGTATATTTGCTTCTGTAGCCCCTTATTATATGCTAATCTGTCATGAGGCCTTTGGTAATCCAAGGATTACTAGCTGGTTGCAATGCTAAACCTACAGGGGCAGGTTTGGGTCGTGACAGAGTGGTATCAGAGCATGTGTTCTACCACACACAGAGGTCCATATGAGCTTAGGATGTCCTAGTAAGAATTAGGGGCATTTCATGTGCATGTGTGAATGTGTGGTAATCCAAATGGATATGAAAACTAAATGTAAATTTGAGCAAATGAATTGAAAGAAACAAATAAGATTATTCCTATGTTTATTATCATTTGATGTCTCTCTAGCAACATGGAGAATGCAAGGGGAAATGATGCAAGTGAATCTTCAGAGGCTCACATGAGCCGAATGGAGCAAATGCTTGCGGCATTGACTGAAACTATGACACAACAGCAAAGACAATAACCTTTGCCCCCTCCACCTCCGCCGGCACAAGCCGAAGTAAATAATAATGACATCATCAACTTGACACAGAAATTCATGAAGATGAAACCGCCGACATTCCTTGGCGGAATTGAACCGTTGAAAGCAAAGACGTGGTTACTTGAAATGGAAAATTTATTTGAAGTGTTTTCTTGTTCTGAAGTCCAGAAAGGCCTCCTAGCCACCTATACTCTGAAGGATGAAGCCCGAAGGTGGTGGTTACTAATTCGAAGCAGCAACGGGAATATGACGTGGGCACAGTTTAATGCAATCTTCTATGATAAAATATTTTCCCCAATGTTTCAGGGATCGGAAAGTGTCAGAGTTTGAAGAACTTAAACAGGGGAGAATGTCTGTAGCTGAATATAAAGCCAAATTCACTAAACTAGCACGGTTTGCTCCACATATGGTAGATACTGATTACAAGAAAGCACGAAAATTCGAAGGCGGACTGGATTTAGAAGTGTTTGATCGGGTAGGCGTATTGAAATTACCTACTTATGTGGAAGTTTTAAACAAATCCTTAATGGCAGAAGCCACCCTGGCCACGATGAAACAAAGTAAAGCCCCAGTAACCACAACAACTGATTGGAGAGGAAAAAGGTCTAGGTATGGTTTTAGAAGAGGCCGGTCTCATATGAGTAAGAAGCAGAATACAGGGACTACAAGCAGCTCGAGTCAGAGCAGTGGGTCTATTCCGGTTTGTTCTAATTGTGGAAGAAGGCATATGGGGTGTATGCTACTGAGCATCCGGTGCTTGTTTCCGATGTGGCAAGACAGGTCATGCAGTGAAGGATTGCCTACCTGGGTCTGAGAATACTAGCCGTCCTATGGTGAGTTCAGTTGGATCCGCTTCTACAGCCAAAACAAATGCAAGGGCTAATACTGGGAAAAAGCCTCTGAGACAAGGTCGAGTGTTTGCCTTAGTGCCCGGTGATGTACAAAACATCGATACTGTGGTGTCAGGTATACTCCTTATATGTTCTCAAAATGCATGTGTACTAATAGATTCTGGTTCTATACATTCCTTTGTATCGCATGCTTTCTCTCGGAAATTGACTAGACCATTAGAACTCATGACATATGTGTTATCTATATCTACACCGTTTGGGGGTTCTATGATGTGTGCCCATGTTTATCCAGCATGTGATATTATGATTGGCGATATGATATTATATGTTGGCTTGTTGCCCTTGAACATTGATCATTTTGATTGTATTCTGGGAATGGACTGGTTGACTAAATACTGTGCTACCATTGACTGTGCAAGTAAATCTGTTGTGTTTAGACCACTGGGTATTCCTGAATTTATTTTTACTGGGAATGGGGTAGTTCCTCCCCCATATCTGATTTCAGCTATGAAAGCTGTAAAACTACTTAGGAAGGGATGTAGGGGTTACTTGTGTTGTATACTGACTGTGTCATCCGACGGTACTAATGTAGAAACTATCCCGGTTGCTTGTGAATTTCCCAATGTGTTTCCGAATGACTTACCTGGGGACTTAGTTGATAGAGAGATTGAATTCACTATTGAGGTATTTCCGGGAACACAACTTATTTCCAAGACCCCCTATAGAATGTCTATCTCAAAACAGAAAGAATTAAAAACTCAACTTCAGGAACTACTGAACAAGAAATTCATCCGTCCGAGCACTTCACCTTGGGGTGCTCCAGTCTTATTTGTCAAAAAGAAAGACGGGTCTTTGAGGCTATGCATAGACTACCGGGAATTGAACAAAGTAATTATCAAGAACAAATACCCTCTGCCCCAAATAGATGACTTGTTTGACCAACTTCAGAGAGCCCAAGTATTTTCCAAAATTAACCTCAGATTTGGGTATCACCAATTAAAAGTTAAGGCTGAAGGCATAGAGAAAACTGCATTCAGAACTAGATATGGACATTATGAATTTTTAGTAATGCCGTTTGGGGTAACCAATGCACCTACTGCCTTTATGGACCTTATGAACAGAGTGTTTAAATCATTTCTGGATGAATTTATTGTTGTGTTTATTGAAGATATCCTGATTTACTCCAAAAGCAGGGAAGAACATGAGAATCACTTGAGAATTGTTCTACAAACCTTGAGAGAAAAGAAATTATACACTAAATTGTCCAAATGTGAATTCTGGCTTGACAGTGTGACATTTTTGGGACATGTAATCAACAAGGATGGTGTTTTTGTTGACCCTAGTGTTATCTGTTCTGTTTTCTATATTCAACAAGTAAAATGAGAGTAAAATTTTACTCTAGTGTTATCTGTTCTGTTTTCTTAGCATTCAAGTAAAATTTTACTTTATTTTAGAGTAAAATTTTACTGTATTTCAGAGTAAAATTTACTCTGAATTGAAAGTAAAATTTTACTGTGTTGTTGAATGTTTGTCAATGCAGTTTTTGATTTGTTTTCTAGTAAAATTTACTTTGAATCTTCAGAGTAAAATTTATTTTGAATCTTCAAGTAAAATTTTACTTTATTTCAGAGTAAAATTTTACTATATTTCAGAGTAAAATTTACTCTGAATTGAAAGTAACATTTTAATGTATTGTTGAATGTTTTTCTAAGCAGTTTCTGATTTGTTTTCTAATAAATTTTACTGTATTTCAGAGTAAAATTTACTCTGAATTTTAAAGTAAAATTTTACTATGTTGTTGAATGATTGCCTATGCATAAGAGAATAAGCTTTATTTTTCATTAACCAGAGTAAAATTTTACTGTTGCGAAAATAGAGTACATACTAGATAAATGAATTATAGTCGAATTTTACTTTAGATCTATGAACAAACAAACAAAAAAACTCTCGATTTTCTATTGTAATATATCAATTTATCATTTTTTTGACATATATGAGGTCATTTTATCTCAGATATGAAATTATTAATCTCAAACATGAGTTCATAGGTATCAAATCTGAGATGGTGATAGATTTCAATGGACGATTTCAAGATTTCGATTTTGTGAGATGGATCGAAGATGGAGATCAAAAGGGTTTAGGGTTTAGAAAGAGAGAAAATAAAGGGAAGAGAGAGAATACCAGTAATGTGGAGATAGAAAAGAAGAGAAATGGTTCAGCGAGGGTTTTGGATTATATGGAAGGGTATTTCACCATTTTCATCATATTTTTTTATTTAAGGGACTTTTCAAACTATTATTTTATTCGGTGGGCTTCACACAAAAAAAAAAAAAACCCATAGAAGGGGTTTTCACCAAAAATCCCATTTTTAAATACAAGAAACAATAGATAATATTTCCTTTTGAATAGTAGAATAGCATGAAGTATTCAGTTTTTAATTCTTCTTGGAAATGGTGACGAATATCTTTGTCTTTGCGCGATTTATAGGGATGTTTCATTTTCATTCTTTATGGTATCTCCAAAATTCATTGCCTCAGAGTGGATCTCAACATCAAGAATTCAAGTTAGTTAAGAGCTGAGAATTTCAATTTTGAAAGATTTGACATGTTTATACATTATATATAACAAAAATAATATAGTATCACATGAATATATTAAGAAAAATATAGAATTAACTTTAGAATTTATTTACACTTACCTTAACTGCTCAGTCACTCTCCCTTCTCAACTGGTCAAAATCTCGTGCTAATAACGTATTATAAAATAAGAAAGAAAGAGCCAACAAATAATATATGGAAATAAAGGAGAATACTAGAACATAAGGAGCCAAATAAGAATTCTTTCTTTCTTCTCCTTTCTGATGGATGTTCTCTACAATGCATATAGGTTTGCTTTTATAGACATATCAACCAATGCATGACGGCTTGCAATTGGTTCACTACATGGGACTTGTGGGGACGTATTTTCTGAATACCAACACGTGGCATGGTGACGCCGACGTATCAGCCGAGGTGCCACATGTCCTGGTAGTTAAGCCGAGATGATCTCGGAGAAGCCGAGGTTATCTCCGAAGATATCGGAATCCGAGATAAGGGACAAGAGTCCTAAGGCAAAGAGGGGACTTAACCAAGATAAGGATAAAGCTCTTAGGGAGTTTTATCTTTATCTCTTATAGAGTCCAGAGTAAGCAGTAAATTGGAGTTCATAGAAGTCATACTTCTAGTGGGACTTGGATTGAGTATATTATAAAAGAGAGGCACCCCCGTGGGTCTAAGGTATGTAATTTATGTTTTGAGTATTCAGTTTAGCACTTGATTATCTTTGAGAGATATACTGACTTGATCGTCGGAGTGCCCCCCGGGTGGAAGAACCACCGCCGGAGCTTTTTTCTGTTACAGGTTGCTAAAGCCATCTATTCTGCCTGTGCTCTCCAGCTGATCACTAAACGGGCAGTGTGGTCAGATTTTCACCCACACAGGACTGTATAAATTACGAAGCCACCTTGGGAGATTTTCACCAACCACCATGAATTAAAAATACTTTTGCTTTAGATAGTGATTATCCACATGTTATACAACAAGAAATGAGAAAATATTTAAATTTGGACTAGATTACTTTAGTTTTTGATTAGGTTAATTAACTTATATTAAATAGTATTATAATAATTATTTAATTCGTTTAAACTCACCCTAGTCGTACCATTTCCCATGACTTTCTTGCCCTCACTCCACCTCTCCCAACCCTTCCCTAATTGAGGAGTCTTGACTTCGCCCTTGCTTGGTCATTCCTTGCCATCTCTTGAAGCTCCCGATCTCTATAGCCTTTGACCCAAGTTCAACAACTAACATTTTCATGCAAATAATCCCTCAACCTTTCGAAGTATCTCAATAGCTTTTAATCTATAAATGACAATTTATTAATTTGTCAATCAATTATAAACTTCTTTGCCCATCGACGGCCACTTGTTTCCCTTTTTGTCTTTATTTCATGCCTATTTGATATTAGAGTCTCATATCGAGTTGTAATTATGAAATTCGATCTTTTTCATTAACAAAAATAAATGATTTTTTTCTTCATAAGCACTTTTTTTTTAAAAAAAACAAAAAATATTTTTTTTGTGACATGGTCCACTTGAATTTGTATGATTGTTTTTATCAAATTAATTTCTATTTCTTTTTAATGTTATGTATCGCACTTAGCAAAATAAAATAAAATTTAAAAGTCTCAACCAAAAAATAAAATAAAGTTTCAATATAAATTTTATTTTTATTGATGTTTTATTTATTTAATTTTTTAGAAGTTCTAGACAAAAAATAAAATAAAATTTATAAGTAAGATTTAATATTACTATTACTTAGTAAACAATTCAAAAGTGCAAAATAGTTTTTTGAACATTTATCTTTCTTAATAATATCTCAACCCAATATAGGATTCAATAAGATAATCATTTTTTGATTTCTAATCCCATGACTAAACAAATATGGAATACACATCATTTCCAACCAAATAACCTAGGAACTATGGCACCATTTGGTGTAACTGTTAAAACAGATTATAAATTATGACTTAACAGATTATAAATTATGACTTTAATTAGAAGCCGTTAATCTGTTTGGTGTAGCTGTTAGATTATAGATTTAAGTTGCTAAATAGTGTTTGTCAAATAAGCTACAAAGTAACTTTTTCAATTAATTTTTATTTTTTGTTACTCACTACTTGTCTACATTTTTCATAAAAAATAATAATAATAATCTATAGTCCATTTGGGTCTTTTTTTTATTTTTTAAAAATAAAAAAAAAACAAAAAAAATCTAAGAGTATAACTCTAAATTAACATGTCCACGACAGAAGTTGATAATCAGAAACAATGGGTGAACAACTTCTCAGAATCAGCATTTTTGAGTTAAAATAAGTTGTTAGAACCAAAAGCTGTTTGAAATAAATTTAACCAAACAGTCCAAAATAGTTTTTCCAAAGCTAGAAGCTATAAGTTGGCTAAAAAAACCCAAACAAACACCACCTATGTATCCCAAGATTAACAGTCCAATAGATTATAATCCCCCTTATCAAGTCCGTTCAAACAAACATGGATAGTCCCACATATGGAATATTAAG